CCCCCCCATGATTTTCGAACAAGTGATGATTCAACAAAGGGTGGTGGTGATTGCAGAAGTGATCATTCAGCAGAGGGTGTTAATCACTGTCCACCTTCTACAAATCAGCGGGGTGAGGAAGGTCAGGTACAGATTTCGCAGCAGGCGCAGCACTTTAGCAAGGTCAGATACAGATTCGCGGCAGGTGCAATACTTTCGCAAGGTGCGGCCCAGATTTCGCGGCACTTTCGCAAGAGGTACGAATTTCGCGGCAGGCGCAGCACTTTCGCAAGGTACGGTGCAGAGTTTGACGCAGGCGCAGCATTAAATCAGCGGGGGGGTGGGGAGGGCGGCGGCGGCAGCCCCCGCATGATGTTCGAGGACGTGAAGATTCAACAAGGGGTGCGCTAAGCTCTGTAAGCATTCTACAAATCAGCAGGGGGGTTGGGGGGGCGGCAGCCCCCCCCATGATGTTCGAAGAAGTGATGATTCAACAAAGGGTGGTGATGATCGAAGAAGTGATGATTCAGCAAAGGGTGCGTTAATCACTGTCAACCTTCTACAAATCAGCGGGGTGGTTGGGGGGGGGCCTTCCTTCCTTCCTTCCTTCCTTCCTTCCTTCCTTCCTTCCTTCCTTCCTTCCTTCCTTCCTTCCTTCCTTCCTTCCTTCCTTCCCCCCATAGGAATGAGCATAAGTTTTTTGTTTGATGCCTAATAAGTTGTTTTTTTTGATGCCTAATAAGTTTTTTTTGATGCCTATCATCCCGCGGGTCTGAAAGTCCTGAAATGTTGATTGGGTCTGTTCCTGCACGTTGTGTGGTTGCATCCCTTGCATTTCCAGCATCCCCAGCATCTGGGACATGTTTCCTGACTGAAAAATTGGAAAGTGCCAAGAAGGCCTTGTTGTGGCACTTTCAGACTTCCACGAAAAATAATAAAGGTCCTTGCACCCCACTGGCGTTGGGCGGATCGCGTAGCAATTTCAATAAACAAACAACAAACACAAATAAATAAATACATAAACCACAACAAACAAACACACAACAACAACCAGGAGATATCCCCCCTCCTTTTGAACTGTCCCTGTCCAAACTGCACATAGATTTCCGAAAACTTTCTCGAAACGGCTCGGATACAGCTTGTGGAGTACGATATTGAAAGAGCAACAGAGGTTTTACTGAACAAGACAACCAGGGGGGAAGAATGGGAATAATTCACAAAACCATGTGCAAGAGTTGACGGCGTTTCCTCCACACGTGATTCGGACTCCATCCAGGGGTCGCACATGGCCAAAATGGGAGCAGTCCAAAGGTATCTCAGTCCCTGTGGTTCAGAAGCGAAATCAACGGAACCTTCACCTTTGGGCACCTCGTTCCCCGCCCACTCCCCCGCCCCCTAATCTATATGCTTGTCCTTTTTCCGTTGTCTTCAGCAAGCACTTTGATTCTTGGCAACTCTCCCTAGAAAGTAGCAGAATATAGCACAGCCAACCAAATCAACCAGCAGGACACGAGTTCTCCCAAAGGGGGCAATAACTCCGAGACCGGTGTGTTTCTCGCGGCTCTCAAAAACGAAGATGCACCTCCACGCACAATCCTTCGAACCAGAGCAGGGTTTCGATGAGGCCGTCTATATAATTCCAGGAGCAGAAAGGCCAAGGACCTTCGTGATTCGTCAGCCCGCTTACCCCTTGGTCAGGTCATTTGTCCAGCACATTCACGCTGTGTTCAAGTTCTCTGGATTTTTTCAATGGAGCACCCCACGATTAATCAACCACGCATGCCAAATTCATCCTGTAGGCAACAAAAATGGACTCATCCTGAAACCTCCTCCATGGGACTTTGCCCAGATCCCAACTGAAATTTGACTTCAAATAACTTTCTCGGTGTGACTGAGCCGAGAACTTGTCCAACAATTCCGACTGACCCTCTTCTTTTTTTGGGACACTTCGGGAGAACGGGCAGCTTTTGCTCGTTGCGCCATGGGGTCAGGGGCCCAAATCCATTCGCGCCTGGATCGTCCCAGCGGCCCTTTCCATCTCCATGGCGCCCGTGAACCGCTCCGCAACGCAAGGCCGCGGAAACGCACCGCGGAAAGGAGGAATCCGGCGGAACGAGCGGCAACACCTACCACGGGCGATTTCGAATGTGTTCCTGAAGATTTCTGACACTTGCCTTTGGGTGTGGATGTATTTTGGGATTTGTTTTTTCGCTTTGTTTGTTTGTTTTTCGTCTTTACAGCATTTTCTCGCGAAATTGACGCATTTTACACTAGTCCGTCAACATCCCCCGAATGTGCGACCAACATCCCTAGCATCACCAACAAATCGTGGGTATCAAAATCGAACAAGTAGCTGGCGGGTTGACGGGGTCGAAAAGTGATGGTTCAAATAGGAGGGCATTTCAATCCCTGTAAACAAAAAAAAAGCGGGGGGGTTGGGGGGGGCGTCTGCAAAAAGTCTAAAAAGTAGTGGGGGGGTTGGGGGGGGCGGCAGCCCCCCCCATGATGTTCGAAGAAGTGATGATTCAAACAGGGGTGCAATTAAATCTCTGTAGAAAATCTAAAACGTAGCGGGGGGGTTGGGGGGGCGGCAGCCCCCCCGACGATGTTGGAAGAAGTGATGTCTGTATGTATGCACTTCTTCGACATCATAGGGGAAGCCACCCCCGCCAACCTCCTGCTGCCTTTTACATTCTATCGCACCCGTTCTTAAATCATTGCACCCCTACTTGAATCATAGCATTTTCTCGGGAAATTGGACACTCGAAAAAGGTGATGATTCAAATAGAGGTGCAATTCAATCTCTGCAAGAAATCTAAAAAGCAGCAGCGGAGGGGTGGGGGGGGCAGCAGCCCCCCCCATGATGTTTGAAGAGGGTGCAATTACTCTGAAACAATCTAAACAGTAGCGGGTGGGTTGGGGGGGGCCTTCCCCCCCATGATGTTCGAAGAAGCGATGATTCAAATAGGGCGGAACTGGTGATGCTGATGATGCGGGAAGCCAAATCCAAAACCAATGAAAGGGTGCAAACGCCAAAAAGCCCAGAGGAACTGTGAAAGCAGAGGATGCGAAACGCCAAAGCCGCCAAAAGCCGCATGAACGCAAAAACCAAACCGCCACCTGCCGAAGAGGAACTGGGAATGCAGAGGATGCGAAAAGCCAAAGCCAAAAGCCGAGAAGCCCAGAAGCCGAGAAGCCAAAAAGCCAAGAAGCCAAGAAGCCGAAAAGCCAAGAAGCCAAGAAGCCAAAAAGCCAAGAAGCCAAGAAGCCAAAAGCGAAAAAAAAGAAAAACCAAAAAAAAAGAACACAATTCCTAAAATAAATACCCCTCTCTTGCCTTTTGGGGTGTCACGAAATCACCGAAGAAATCTCTCTGCCCCTCTTGTAGCGAGCTCACCGACTGGGGGATAACGAGCTCACCATGATAAGGGTCCTTTACATGGGGATCCCCTAATTCAGCTTTTGAATTATTGTAAAGTATGCAGAAACCATGAAGGCAATACCATTTGGCCCATTTGAAGAAATTGTGAAGGTAGGAAAATCTTACATGGAATGTATGGGGATGAAAGAAGGTGAAAGAACCATCAGAATTCTTTGGTTATCATCTCTTTGGCCTCCCTAGGATGGTGATTGACAGGTAGCAAATCGCATCACGTCCAACATACACTACATAACGATCTTGCTCATGCCCCAGCTACTCGTATGCCTCTTTACGTTTTGGGTCAAGGGTGCTGGGTTTGTACCCAACTCACGAAACCAGGCCCCTGTGGCAACTGTTCGGGGGAATGTGCGTGTCTTTGAGGGCACCTTTTTCAGGGTCGGTTGAAAGAGAAGCCACCAGCGAACACACTGTGTCTCCTTCCTGTTTACCACATTCTCGGGCATGAAGTGCTTCAAGATGAGCCGTCCCTTCGGACAACACACCTCCCCTTGAATCCCAAGAGCAACTGGGGTTCCCACACACCTTGTGAGGGTGGAAAACCAAATCGAAACTTCGGGGTCCACCTCTAGGAATCGTTGTCTTCTTTCCAGACCTTGAACGTGGTTCGTGTTTTTTTTTTAGAACCACATCTTGGGGTTACCAACTCAAAAAAGGAAAGCACATGCGGGTGAATGGGCTCCTGGCCAACTTTCTTTCTCGGTTTTCACCCCCAAACCACCCCCAGGGATTTGATGGGATACACAACCACTTGGCCCCGAATTGGTAAGCTACCCCGTGCTTGCCAAACCATCGTAGAACCAACTCCAAACTGGTTTAGAGATACTGCAGGGAGATTGGGTCAGCTAGCCCTGGCTTCATCTGAGTCGACTCACGGATGCACTTCAAAGGACTCCCTTCAAGACCATCCCCAAAGAAGGCTTCCACTACCCCCCATATTTTTTGTGTAGCGACCACATGGTTAGTTATGTACCCCATGCTTATCTTGGCTTCTGCTAACATTCCCATTTGTTCTCCATGAGAAAGCAAACCAGCCAAACATGTCTACCGGCTGTTGGTGAGTGGGGGAAGAGTTCTAACAACATGCGAGTCATGATCAAAACTCATTGAAATGGTCTACCCATGTAAAGGATTCAAAGGCGGCCGTGCCTATTGATGATTTGCTCTTTCCCTTGCCAACCTTCATCTCCCATCCACTAACATGGAACCTGACTGAGGGATGTTCCTTTGAAAGGGACCCTTTGCCATGTTAGTGGACTGGAGGGTACCCAAGGTCTTGATTGCGGCTCATGTCTCCTGAAGCGGCAAGGGGCTGATTTGAAGGCATTGCGGAACTCTCTCAGATTCGAGTTGCGCAAGCCCCTCTTTGTCTTGTTGCCTCTTTTCCTTGCTCAGAAAGCTATCCTGTCAAACGGATTCACCAGGGTCCAATTAAGTACCCTGGAACACGGCAGAATGTATGCCTCCAGAAACCCCTGTCTGGATAGGCCAACCAACTAACTGCATCAATCTTGGGACACCAGCCTTTTGTTGTCCAAACATGGCCAGAAACTTCATACCTCGACGTGGAGCTGACAAATCAGGTCAGGGCTTCACCAGTATACATTCGGCCAACTTGACCATCATCCCTGTACTGCTCCGCCGCGTTTTGCAGCGACTCAGGAGGCGGTCGCACGCTCTCGGGGCCTCGCAAAATCAGCAGATCTGGGGATGCGTGTTCAGTCTGCAGCAGAAGCTGTAACTGAAGCAGTCGGCTTCTAAGTGTACATGATGCCCCCTGAAAAGGTTTGCTGTCCCAAGCTGGAATGGGTGAACTTGTTCACTTCTGTTCGGTGTCGTCGGACATGTAACAACATGGCGTTGCATTGGGTCCGCTGGAAAGAAGCACGCCTCAAATCAGGGTACCAGAAACGCAAAACCCGGATCTTTGACCAACGTAAGGCTCTGCTTGGAAAACAAATTGGAACCTGTGCCAAAAACCCACTCGAGGAGACCCTTTCCAAACGGAAACGGGAGGTTGCTTGAAGATCGTTGCCTTCAACGTGGGGTATTGCTCGAAGTCCCACCTTTCGCGTGCTTAAGGGAACCAAACAAAGACCAACCCCAGCCCTGGAAACCAGAAAAATGGCCGCCCACTTCGGGTCTCAGCGGGCCAATCGCTTGGCTTGGGTGACCCCAACACCCCAAAGACTTGACCCACATCACCGCAAAGGGCCGCGCAAAGAAGGTGGCCACAAGCTGTGTATGCCGCTAAAGTGGTGCAAGCTCGCGACATTTCAATCCATGAGCTCAAGAAGCCAGGAAGATGTTCGGCCCCGAAATCCGCCGATGTTCAAGCCAGCAAACAGCGCGCCACGCGAAACCAGTGGAACACGGTTTTGCCTTTTTTGCTATTTTTCCACACCAAGTGTCTGGGATCTGATCATAGAAACCAGAGCAAACCAACTGTGTGGCTCCAAGGAAACGGGCTCCGAAAAAAGAAAGAAAGAAAAAGACAAGATCCGCCTGAAAAAAAAAAAAAAAAAAAAAAACGCCAAGAGGCAATACACAGAACAACATGTCTCAAAAAACCTGCTGAGCATATGGGTGTGGCTTAAAAGTATGAGTCGGACTCCCAAAATGATGACTATTTGTTTAGCTTCCCCTTAAACCCGCCCAAAAAAGTGCCATCAAAAAACACACGCGTAAACATCACTTTACGAGACTCACTTTGAATTGGCCAAACGGAAAGCTACTTCTTGAAAACACCCACACTTTGAAAAACAAGCACCCTGGCAAGCAAAAGGTCGTGGTAAAAGGGGACTGCCTTGCTCGGACATTGGTCCTAAAATCCCTTGCCCACCCACCCCACCCACCCCACCCCCATCCACCTCACCCCCCCCTGTCTCGTGACAAACTTCGGCTCCCCCGCTGGAGGTGGCCCTTGCCCGCCCGCCAAGGGGTGGTCCTTCTCCGCGAGGGCGACTCCTCACCGCTCAAGGAGTCGTGGCATGGACCACGCGGGCTCTCCCAAAGGGCGGGGGTTTTCCGGGTTGGTCTCTCAAACCCCGCAACAAAACAGGAGAAACATGTGGCTTTGTCTATTTGGCCATGGGTCAAAAGCCTCTCAGTTCGTCGAGGCTGATGAGCCCTGGCGTTCCTTGAAGGGTGTTTCTCTCACTTGAGACCAAGCTGGTTGTTTGTGTTTTACCAGGCAAAATGGGCCAGGAGGTGGTGTTGCCTTCTCGCTTTCCGTGGAAACCAAGGTGAAAAGGGGAGCCTCAACCAAATGGATAACCACACCCAGCTGGTGTTCCTAAAAAGTCCAGCACCTCCGCGAGGGAGTTCCCCGTGGGTCCAAGAGAAACTCGATTCACGTTGGACGAGTTACGACTCTCAACTTCCTCTGCTGTATCTTCGACGGTCTGGCTAGAACTTGCAAAGATGCTCCAAACAAATCCATGGACGGATGTGTGTCACAGGTTCCATGATTGTATCCACCGGTATTTCAGGGTGTTCGAACATTGAAACATCCGGGATTTGCCATAGGAGCTCCTATCTGCAACAAATCAATCCGCACATCCGGTCGATCACCTGAAGCCATGCCGCTCGCATGGATCTCTCGGCCAAGTAGCATGGTTGATTTGCGGAGGATGAAGCTGCTGCGAAGGCTTGAAAGGATCCATGACTTTCAGAGAATCCACGAAAGGTCCTTTCCATAGGATGACCATTGGGGAAAATGACTGACAGAAAATATGATATTTCCAACATGGGAAAAGCTATCCATGGTCATTTGGGGGCCAGGAATATTGCATTGATCAAACCCCGCATCCAAAACTCCCAGCTGTGCATAATGTTGGGAGCTTTTTGCGCGTACACTCTTCCATCCCCTTCTCGGAAACTACAAGGAGCTCTCTCATGAAACAGCCCGTTTGAGTTCGAATCGGAACCTGGTACTGATAGGGTCTACACAAAACCCCAAAATCATGCAGATCATCAGAGGGGCCGGACTGTGATTCCTGGCTGGGAGCGTGTCACTTACCGCCAACTACGAGAATCGTTCTTGAATACCAAGGAATTCAAGACATCCCGTTTGGGGGGGTCCCAAAATTTTGGGAACCTTGGGTGGACTTGATGGCTGAATTGGGGTGACCTGGCCGTGTCAGCCCCCAAATGAGCAACAAACGAGTACGCCCACAAAAGACCCTGGTCAAAGGAACCTCCGAAAATCGATCCTTCCACCTGATTTGTACGGACCTCCCGGATCAAGCAGCAATCATACATGAAAGTTGGCCCCATCTTAATAAACCCGTCCTGTTAATAGGGGGGGTCACCCACAAAAGTGAAGGGATCCCACTAAAAGGGGACACCCCCTATTAATTTACCCGGAGTTTTTTCATCCGGCGTTCCCAATGAATCAGAAGTCAACATGCATTGCCAGTTACTTTTGTCAGTTGCCCCCCCAGTGAAAGAAAGCCTTTGGGCGTCCTGCAACAAGCCGAACTTGTGACGCAGGCAATAGACCTCAGGCAGACTGCGCAACTCACCAAGTCTTCAAGTTGCCTCCTGCACCACTATTCTAGGGCTTGATTCCAAGCCATCCTTCTTTTCAACCGGCCGTTCCCCTGCATTTTCCGGAGGTGTTCTAGAAAGGATTCCTCTGGAAATGGAAGGTAGCACTAGAACCCCTCGCAAGGTTCATGTACATGTGTCAGTTTTTGAGGGTACCCTTGTTTCTGGCTTTAAGGGAAAACCAAAGGGACAATCTCCCACACAACTCTGCTGGGCCCAGTCCAAATGCCGCTTAAGTCCCCTGGCAAAATGAGAAAATATCTCCAGTAGTGAACTTATTCCAACTTTAAAACCAACAGGGGAAAACAACAAAATATTCTTTACCAAATGTCAAGCCCAGCTTAGGAAATCCTTCAAAAACCCTTAGGAAACCCTCTAAAAACCCCCAAACACCCTTAAGAAACCCTGAGGAAACTTTGGCGGGTTTGTAGATTCCCTTTCCAACCAACAGGGGAAAATAAGAAGAACAACAGAGAACAAAACGATTCTTAACCAGATGGAAGCCAAGACTTTGGTGTCGCTTGCGTCAAAGACGCGGGATTCACGTTCCACCAATTGAACACGATGGCCTCCTCAGCCTGGCGAGATCCAGTGACTCGGATCGAGATCGCCTGACAGATCTGGGCCGAAGCCAGGAGAAGTGGACGTTTGAAGGAGGCGACTGACATGAACCACAGGGGCACAAGGGCCAAAAGGCTGGTTTTCCAGGCTTTACTCACATGGCCATGATCTTGGTTGACGTTGGAAGGGGAGCAACAATTTAAATTTGTAGCAGTTAAGTGGGGATTTCAACCACTAAACCACAATAAGCAACAATGTAAAATGATTCCCAACGACAACCATGCATGGGTCAACAACCAAATCGTACCCAAAAGGGTGGTTTTCCGGGTTCTCTCCAAAAGCCCGGCAGGCTCTCTCCAAAAGCCATAAGGCTCATGACCCCTCCAAGGACCCCCGGAGCCTCCAATGAACCCTGACAACCCACCCCTCAGGGCCCTTGAAAACAACCCATTTTGAGGGCCCAAAAAGCATCGGGAGCCTTATCCGGGTTGGTCTCTCAAACCCCGCAACACAGGGGAAACATGTGGCTTTGTCTATTTGGCCATGGGTCAAAAGCCCAAAAGCCAAATCGGACCCCCAGTGAACATCCGATTCAATCCCCACCCCACGGAGAAATAGGTTCTAAAATGGGTGGTGAATTCACCTACTAACCAAAATAGTACCATTGGTTTTGATCCACAGCCACATCTACGATCCAAATTGAAGCCTCCAAAAAAGAAGAGGGGAGCTCATCTCAGAAAAGAGGAGTCAGGAAATCTATGAGCGAAATTCGAAATGGACCCCTCAAAATAAAAGAGGGGGGCTCACCTCTAAAGATGAGTCGGAAAATCTACGAATCTTCTATCCAAATGGACCCCTCCAATAAAAGAGAAGAAACTCTCTGAAAAGATCCCTAGGCCACTCCGAGCCTGCTTGTAGTGCTTCTCTTCGTACCACACCTGAACTCGTAAAAACTCATCCACGAAACGTTTCTGGCAGCACACGGGGGATGTCAACAGTCTGGCCCCTTTTTGGACCCCTCTCGGTGCCGCCAGGTTCTGCCTGCTGCTACCAAAAACGGGCCGGCTGTTCCAACCCCCCACACCTCTGCACACTTGGGGCCACGCATGCGTTCGCTTGTCGTATCGCTCGTGAATGCGCCTCACGAAAAGAAAAGAACAAGAAAAACAAGTAAAGTCCTGGGGATCCCCAGCAAGCGGATCAGCCAAGGCACGTCTCACTCTCCAGGAGACACACAAAGATGAACGACACCTTGGGACGGCTTCCGATTCGACTTGCGCAGCCTCGAGCTTGCTTGCAAGCCACTTCGCAAACCCCTCTTTCATGTCTCTGAAAACCGATTCGCTCGCTTCATGTTTTGATTTCATGGTCTCTGAGGGACCGGCAACTACCACCACCACCGTCAGGGCAAATCTCAAGCGCTTCCGCTCAGAGCGGTTCCTGGTCGAGCGAACTAAAGCCTTACGAGCCGCAGCACGATGCGACAATTGAGCCAGTGAGACGCCCAGTGCAGGATGCACACGGCGATCCTGGCGATGAAATCGTTTCGGCTCCATACGGATTTGTGTAAAAATCAAGGGGACCCCAAATTGTGTGGTTTCCCTTTCAAGCAACCCCCACAAAGAGTACCAAGCCTCATAAAAGAGCCAACCATATTTAGTCACCCTCAAAATCTAAAGCGCAATCGGAGACCCCAGTAAACCTGTTTCAAACCGCAGGTTTTGGTGAAAGTCACGGGCTGATGGTGTCACATGGGCCAAATAACTTTCCGTGAGCCGAAGCCGGGTCCATGAGCCCAAGCCTGGGGCACCCTAGAGCACCAGGGGAGCAACTGGGACTCCTCAAGCAACCGGCCCGGGCTTGGACAAGCGTCCAAATGAAAGTTGGGGGGGGGTTTGCCCCCGCTCTTTCCCTTTGGTCGCGCAAACTCGAGACATGGCCGACAGTGTGAATATCGTTCGGCGAATTTAGGGCAACCAACGCACATGATTTTGCCTCGGACAGACTGGGGGCCATGGGACATACCCTCCCTCTTTGGTTGCCTAAAACCTTTTTGTACAGGTGGTTTCCATTGAAACTGCCACTTTTGGAGGTTCGAAGAAGGACACCCAACCACTAAAGCCACCCAAAAACCCAACCGCCAGTTTCGTCGCCTCACATCCGACCTTCTCCCGACGTGGATTCTGGGGCCGGCGCATGGCAACGGGCACACCCTGCGCCCTGGAAGCAACAGCATCCAGCCTGCAGCTCCCGGGAAAGCCGGAAGTTGTTTCGCATCTTCTGGTGGGGAAACCACGAGGTTTCCTGGCTTGACGTTGGAAGGGGAGCAAACAATTGAATTTTAGCAGTTCAGTGGGGATTTCAACCACTAAACCACAATGAGCAAAAATGTACAGTAAACAACAACCATGTCTCGACCTACCCAGTGGGAACTAGGGTCAAGCACCGAGTTTGAGTCATACGTGAAGCCGCGGCCGGAAAAAACAATATCACCCAAAGGGTGATGCTTTCGGCTATGACAAAGAATGGGTGCCAAAATGGAAAACCAAAGGATACCGAAGGCATGGTCGGCTGTTCTAAAGGTTGATTCCCCATTCTTTCCAACCATTGTGCTTTTCAAAAACCGGCCGTTTCCCTGGGTTTCCAGAGGTTTTCTAGAAAGAAGGATCCCTGGAAAGAATGGGGAAGGTAGCACTAGAGCTGTGGGCTTCGGTGAGTACATGTCTATTCTATATCACGAGTTCCCAGATTTCAACATCACCCTATCCCAAGGCAGCCCCCTTGGTAAGGGACTACGCAAACCCCTTCCTGGACAAGGGGTAGAAAATGGGGGTGTCTGTTTTGAGGATATACCCCTTTTGGATTCTATGGAAGAAGGGAAAACCAAAGCCATGTTGCGGCTCCAAAAGAAGATACGGCGGAAACAGGGTCCGAGGGATTGAAAAAACGTCTTTTCAAAAATGGTCCGGACAAGGGTTGATTCCCCATGCTTTGCCCGCGGAAGTTTCAAAGGCGAACACCTTTTGCACCAGTTTTCAGGTCCAGGCTGGCTCGCGTCATCCTGACTGTTTTTGCACAACAGGACCCCTAGGGTTGAGGGACCCGCTCGAAATGAAACGCACGGGCTCTTCAGGGTGGTTTTCCGGGTTGGTCTCTCAAACCCCGCAACAAAATCCAAGGCTTTGTCTATTTGGCCATGGGCCCCCAGTGAATATCCGATTCAATCCAACCACGGAAAAAAAAAAAAAAAAAAAAAAAAAAAAAAAAACGGTTAAACACCAAGCAAAAATAGCTCGACCAGACTGGTTCCAATAAGGCTGCTTTCCCGGAGCTCGCCTGTCAGTGGAGAAGTAGGTCTCTCGGCTCAGCGCCAGGTAAACATACCTATCCGTGGCGTACGGTCCGTCGCGTACGGTCCGTCAGTGTGCTAAGAAACTTTATGCAGCAAGAAATTAGACCCTCAAATGGTCCAGAAGCAATTTATTTGAGACTCTCAAAGGCTCCAAAAAACACATACACATCTCCCGAAGCTGACCTGCTGGCCAGCATCCTGCAAGGATTTTCTGGGGGGTGCCCAAATTCGATTGGTTCATGACTGGCTGGTGATTGGACACCTCCGGTTTTAGCAAGCAATTGGCACGTTGGTAGTTGGGGAGAACGGACATATTTTCGTTTGCGATCTGTCCCTCAAACCCAGCCGGAAAAAAATATGCCAAGACTGTCTGAAGGTTGCTGCCATTCCGCTCCTTCATGCAATAAAGATGATAGCACGAAAACAAAGACAAGACGACCCACTCAAGCGGCTTTCAAAGAGAAAGATCCAATCCAATAGCATTCGAGAAGTGGTTGATATGGTGAATGCGCCGAATATTGCAAGTACGGTGGATGCCCTAAGAGTTGCAAGTCTGCCAACCACACTCAACCAGAACAAAGATAAGGCACGGTAAGTCAGGAGGTGTCCTATCCCCTTGCTTGAAACCAAAGGTAAATCACGGTAAATCACAGCAAATCCAAGGGCTCCCTTGTTCCTTGCTTGCAGTACTGGGTGTTCAAGCTACTTAGAACGTCATAGCCATGGATATACGGGGACCACCCGTAACCCTATAGGGTTTAACCATGGCTACGACTTGCTGACCTGACGTTGGCTGAACACCAAGAAGTAGGTCGAACCCCCAAGCAACAAACACACGAGTTGGCTTCTTCTTTTGTTTTATCTAAAAACAATGAACAACCCAATGGTGTATATATATATACAACAAGTAACAAACGTTTTGTTTTCTCCAAAAACAAGAAACAAGCCACTGGTTTAAATACTAAACAAATACAACAATGCGTATGGCAGCGGCATCTGTGGCATGCACCGTACGACGGGGCACTGGTTGATGAAGACCATGGCCAAAGCCCAGGCCACGTCCAGCGTGAAGACGTACCATGCCGAGCTTCCGTGGACGAAGAGGCAAAACGTGGAGGTCGTCATCATCACCACCTCCGTGGATGCGAATTTTTATTTGAAGCTTGGCTGCTGTTCTTCATGTGTCTTTTCTTTCTTTTCATGTTCTTTTTGGGAGGGAAGGGGGAGCGGTGGGGGACGGAGTGTTAAAGTCTGTTGTAGCGAATGTCCTTTTTTGGGGTGGTTTTGAAGGGCAAACAAGTGGTCCGGAATATGGATGATGTAATGCGCGCGTTTTTGTTGGGACGGGGGATATGTTGTTAAAGGGAAGCCAAAAGGGAAACCGTCATTTGTTGGGTCGAGACCGACCCATAACTCACTTGAGTAGCGCTGGTTCTCCTCATTGACTTTTGGTTCTACTATCGTTTTTAAGGTGTATGGCCTCACAATAACACCCAATAAGACTAAGTGCTGGAACCTTGATGTGTGAGTTGAAAACAACAGCCCCCAGTGCCATTTTTGGGCTGGCATCCTCTTTGAATAGGCCAACCACAGCCGTCTGCTACTATCGGGATGACTATCCTGCCTCCAAACGAAACCCATTCCCCCTTTCGATGGCTGCCATGCCTGAACTTGGTTGCTGCAACGACCCCTCTGCAAAAAGTGTTTATAACTTTTTCTGGGTTTAGTGGAAAACCCAACTTGTTTTCCACCAAAAAGTTAAAGTCCAAAGATCCAACCCAATAGCAGTCAAGTGAAGAGGGCCTTCAAGCAGGGCCTTCGAGCCAGCGGTCTTCAGGACCCGACCCCCCCCGTATGCCCGTCCGCTCGACTTTCGACATGGGCCGACCTTTTTGAGCCACGCCTTTGGGTCCCAAGTCCATGGACCCTCAAAGCCAGAAAGGGGCTACCTGGGGTCTCCATGACTCCTTAAGAATGGGGTCATTACCCAAAACGGGGCCATTAACCCATTCTTGAAGGCTCATGGAGACTCCAGGTATAAGTTTGAGGCAATCCCCGGGTTCTTTATGGCTGGTTTCAGGGTCCAGGTACCCATGCCAAAGGGAAATGGAAAAACCATGAACCGACTGACCTCAAACCGACCCAAGCGCGCTTGTTTTTCGTGGGGCTCCGGCAATGGCCGCGTAGTCGTACTGGAGCCACCACTCAGGCGGCTCCATCGCCTGGCGGGGATGGAGGGACTGAATCGGACAAATTTGTTGGCATATGCCTCCTCCCCGACCAACCGTTCCGACAAGAATCGCCCAAAGGACGAAGCAATGCGCTCCAAGCTTGCAGCAATCTGAAGCAACCAGACCCAAGCCCCCTTTAGAGGCAAATTTGTTGCTTCAACACGTGAGACAGAATCAAAACCCGGTATTAGAACGATCCACCCAAAACCATGTAAAGGATTAAGAAGGCGGCCGCAACCAATTGTGGTAGGGATTGCCCCTTACTAACCTTCATCTACCCATGTTTTCATTGTGGCTCACGTGTTGTTTTTGTTGAATTAAGGGGGTTGGTCCAAACCTGCAAGGGAAGAAACTGCCTCCAAGTGAGCCCAAGCTGGTCGTATTCGCAAATGCCGCTTTTGGACGCGGAACGGGTGTGCCTAAACCCTCAAACTACCCACAAAAAAGGGAAACCACCCCCATACTTTTTCGCATTAGCCTGCTTTATGGGTAGTTTAAGGGTCCGAAATCGGTCCGATTCCTGATGAAACTGGGGGTTGGGGTCAAAGGGCTCGCTTCGAATGTTGGGAATCCCTCATCGGCCGTGGCTTCTAAGTCGGGCTGTCTTAAAATAGGGGACCCAAAAAACAGGGAACCCCTTCCAGCACCCTCAACCACTGCTTTTTGGACAGTACTTGGGATATTGGACATGGGAAAAAGCAGTTGTTGGGGGGTGCAGGCCTTTGTGGGCGTGTGTTAAAGGATAGCACATTCGAAACCATCAAGACAAATAATTGCTTTTTCACTTGGTTGGGTGGGATCTCTCTCGTCGGGGCAACCGACTTGCCGCGAACCGTTTTGTGGTGGGAGTGCCTTCTGCAAGCAACCCCCCCCACATGTTCTACCTTGTTGCAGAAAGGTAGTAACCCGGTGCTCCAAGTACCTATTTTCTTCTGTGGATGGTGGCGAAATCCGCTTCTCGCGCCACGAAATGGAGCCATGGTTGTGGTATTTACAGGAGAATCATCATTCCAGGGTTCCCAAGGTGGTGCAGGATTTCGTCCATCCAGGACACCAGGGTTTCGTAGCTCAAGGTTTTACCATGGATGGTCTCCCCTGGTTGCCTACTGTAGTGGCAACTGGCATGGGTAAGCCTCACGTTTGTTTACAACAAACACATGAACAAACTTACGACCGTCTCAGGAGAACCGCCGTGGTGCCTGTTCCGCCTGGAACCGAAGGCGCCCGACTGCGCGTTGGCTAGAAGTCCTGAGCGATACGCGTTCAGCTGGGTCGATTTGAACGTGACATCCTGAAAGTTACGCGCTACATGGTGGCTGTTTGAGGGCAGCCCTGGACTTGGTTGAAAGGAAAGCCGAACACGTTGAAAACCGCCATTTTGGCGGGTCCTGCCAAAAAGGACCACCCCCACACGGTGGTGTTTTCCACGGAAACCGCCGGGACGCAAAAGTTAAGTTGGGACCCAAAGAGTGGTTCAGCCAGAAGGCTAGGATCAAGCGACGAAGGCCGGCAAGGCGTCTGATTGGAGCGCTTTTGATGTCATTTCCACTGAATTCGAAAGGACACCAACCAATTCTCCGGGGTGCTCGCTCCCTTCCTTTTTTTCCGACCCACTGCTCAATACATGGCTGTGCTGGAATGGGCAAGGAAATCGGAAAGCCGGTTGGTGGAGGTTCTCCCTATTCCAGGATGCCCTCAAGTTCCGGATACCGAACAGGCTTCACTCGCTGGGCCTAAAAACCTAAGACCTGGGATGGCTGGGAACCGCCAAGCTTGATGAGCCAAGAAAAGGCAGAGCAGCTTAGTGATCACTGACGGACATGGCCTCTCTCGGCCGGAAGCAGCCGGAATCTTCTGACTCTCAAAATAGAAACCCTTCCCCTAAAATGGTCCGTTTCCTTTTGATATTCCTTCATCAATGCGAACCAAAGGGTCAACCATTTCGAGAAGCACTCAGGTCCATCAGATTTTTCTTTTGGGAAATAGATGGCCCTGGTAGATTCCGAACAGCAGGTCAACCAGGGCAATCATTTTCTATCAAATCGACCAAAGGACATGTTCTCAGGTCAGGGCAAATAGTGGTACAGAAGGATCACACGGCCCTTCAGCCACAGTAGAATGTAGAACACCTGGCTTCGTCTTCTTCCCGTCTGTGCATGAGTGGATTGGCCAAAGAACAGAAACCATTCTTTGTGTGTACCACTTAAATGGTCAAAACCCCAAAAGTTGCATTTCAGCTCAAAACGGGACTCAGGCAGCAAACCGACGTCTTGGAGTGATCAGCAATCTAAACCACATGCACCGCGAACATTCAGCTGGTATTGTGCAGCGATATCAGACCAATTTGTACATCGTTTACTTAAAGGTGACATGATCATAAGCGCTGCTCACACGCCGCCACACAAGCCAACACAAAGCTTGGCTGACGGGGAAAATGGCGTAGCTGATGAGGGAGCCACGGATAAACCTCAGTCGAATCGCCCCAGTCGACCCGATCTGCGTAGAATGTTTGCCAAGCAAAACCGTGAGTTTCCCTATAAACTCTTGTACAGTAGATGGAGGCGCTTGTAATCAGCTCAAATTCAAAGTATGACCAAACATCTAAGCCACGAAGTCTGCTTGGTCAGAGCCCTGTGACTTCGAACCAACCTGGGGGCCGGGCATAAACAATTGATGACCTGCCGGGCACGGATCGCGGACCGGATGACTCCAGCTACTGGAAGGAGCTGAGAGAATCTTGCAAAGCCTGGCGTGGGTCACATATTTTGGGGCACACCCAAGTGTTTCCTTTAAGCTTCCCCTGAAAAGGCCGGCCTAAAAGGACAAAAGCCCACTCCTGCCTAGAGCTGCCTCGTAGAGGACCTGTTGTAGGTCGTCTTCCTTGGGCTTCGCTGTCATCACAACCCGAAAGGGGGTGATTCAGGGGTCACTGGATTTCCCCCAACTCAAAAGTTGATGAATTTAACGGTGGTGTCCATTGAACATGCCACACACGTGGAGGATTCAAAAAAAAGATGGCTCGGAAACGAACGAAGCTGCACGCATCGACATGCATCGACTCTCGGGCCGCCGCAGGCTTCTTGCTAAATGTGGTGGTGATGACCTCGCGACCAAAGGACTGGACCGCTCGTCTTCCTTTCTCTTGGACTCCTGAAAATGGGCGGGTGTGACGCAAATTGGTCTCCCTTGAAACCCAAAAAACAAGGGCATTCTCGAAAACGGAAGAAACAAAAGGAGAAACAAAAAACAAACAGACCCAGTCCCGTTCCCGTTCTCTTCACTCATTCGATTTGGTGTTCAACCAATTTGGCCTTGAAAAGGAGGATCTGTGACGGAAATGGCAGCTTTGGTCGGGTCAAGGGAGTCTACCTGGACCCTCAAACTACTTTTTCAAATGGGATATCGACCCCAAATGCGAGAGGGGGCAGGGGGGGAGGGAGATTCCCTAGTTTCAAGATCCCAACATTCTGGAAAGACTCGAAACGATAGAAAGGTGGCCGCACCTCTTCATGTGGGTCTCTTGTTGAGGGCACCTTGGCTGTGAAAGGGACACCAAAAGGAGCATCCACAATTTTCGGGGGGGTCATTGGCTTCAAACACACCCATGGAGTGTCCCCCAAGCTTCTACACGTTGTTCCGACGCAAGCCCGAGTCGGCTTCAGCCGAGCTGCACCAAAATTAAAGATCGTGTTGATCAGGGTGATGACCTGGCAGGCGTCTTCTCTTCTGGATCGGCTACCCTCCAAAACCAAAACATACCAACATGGATCCCCTCAGCGGTCTGAAGAGATTCCTCGAGATCTTTTGGGATGCTTTGCAGGGGATCACCGCGACCCTCAAACTATCCTGAAAATGGTGGGAATCACCCCGTAACTCTGGGGTTAACAAGCCAGTTCAAGGGTACTTTAGGTGCGCGAAATCGACGTCAGCTCTGTGTGACAAGCTTTGACAGGTGGGCCGTGTACCAGCGGAAGACGTATGCATCTCTGTCTGCCTCAGGACAAAATCTGCTCGAGAGAGAGAGGGCGGATTTCCCGCCAAGAATCCCCAGCATGGATCCAGCTTGGTGTTTGGCTCCGACATCTCTCTGAAACGCTGCCACTTCCCACAAAAAAATGCCAATTGACCGGTGCGAGGGCTGCCGAAACTCGTTGGGACACGCCGTTGGTCTGGTTTTGGCCGTCTTTCCACGTGCGCCTTGAACCGGTAGCCCACATCCATGGCGCAAGACCACACGATCCTGAGTGGCCCCCGATGGGCGACCCCGCCCAGAAGGGGGCCAATGTTTCTTCAAATGCCAACAAACTGGTGCGGAAATGCGGCTCGAAAGCCGCAACACTTTTCAGTACAAGTGTACTTTCGTGCCGTATACGAGGTACATTTTGGTAACTGGTAGCTCCGGCTTGAAGGTCCTAACTTTTTAGCAGAGATGTGGTACACTAAGTACATTTTGGCAGCTCCAGGGCAGCTGGTTGGACCCAGCCTGGCGGCTAATGAATCGGTTGGTCGTCTGCTTGGGAATCGGGTTGGGGCCCTGCAAATCTCTGTTTTCGCAATCTTGGCTTGCGACAACACCGTGGACCTGATATGTGTCTTAGTGGCTTTTACGTGCTTTTACGGGTATTGTCTTGTTTTCAGCGTCGGTTTAGAGTGTTCCGGACCTGCAAAGAAAGATGCGGGACTGGCCCTTACATAACGAAGAGGCGCGGGGTTTCTTTTTCGACCACATTGGCTATGCCCAAAATGGCCACTTGAGCAAAAGAGACGGTGCTTCGTTTCTCCCTGAAGCAACGGATCCCTAGAAAATGTATCAACCAAAGGGTTTCCGAATTCTTGAACGCCAACTTCAAGTCTGTGAAAACCCCTTAGGGAAGACCACCTACATCAGGGCGCCGCAAATGTCCTCTTAAAACATCACCCCACCAAAAAGGACATGTGGGGACTGCCTCGTGTCTTTTCTTGAACCCGCTGCAGCTGAGTCTCTGATTGATGATGATGTTGCCCACTGATGCGGACACTGTGACCTCAACAGAGTTGCCTGATCCTGATGGATCACTTCTCTGGTCTGTTGATGGCATACCCCCCTAGTCGGTGGGACCCCTTTTGCGGGTCCGATCCCTTCTGGACATGGTGGCGAATCAGGAAAACCAGTGCAAAACACAGTCGCAGGTGCAAAACACATGTCAAGCTTCTATTCTGCTCCAGCTAGGGTTGTCAAATGGCCCCAAAAAGGGGACAGCCCCAGCCTCAATTCCTTACCCTGAGAGCTGCACGAGCGTGGTCATCATGAAGTCTCGGTTTCAGTTGCATGGGCTCCCCCCCACCAAAATGCCCGGGTTTGCTTTCTGGCATGCTTCAAAACTACCCAATAAATGTATTCAACCAAAAAAACATGCACCCATGTCAATGTCCATGGCAGGATGTTTGGGACGCAGCCTAATTATTACAGCAAGGCGGGAGTAATGTCGCATCACTTTGGGGGCTCAAACTCAATCGCAAAATCGCTCGAGCCATTGACAAGAGCAACAACATCAGGACGCAGGCCTTCCTGCTTCGCTTTTTTTTGTGCACCTCAGCGCGAAATGCCAACTTGCCAACATACTGGTGTGACTTTTTCTGGGGTATCCCGGTATCCCTTTATTGGTCTGTTTTAAACGGAAGCCACGGGAAAAAAGCAAACTTGGAGACGGAACAAGACACACCCAAAGATCCGGCACCCCCGGTTTCTGCTTTTTCAGGCATGTCCAAAATCCCTAGTACTGTCCACCAGTGGTTGTCCTGGCAATGAGCAAACACCTTCAGACACATCAACGTCTCCAGGTTTGTGTTTCAATCTCATGAGCTCTTGACCCGCTAAGGATCCGGCGGTACACCTGCGAGTAGATGTAGTAGTATCCTGGCGGACCGGACCATGTCGCACGTCGCATGCGGCATGCATAGGTGTGCTTTGGGGGCAAATAGATGGGTTTCCCCGGCAAATGGGGCATGAAACCAATTTGGAAATCAATTTGGAAATCAATCTGGACATCAGTTTGGACATCAACTCGGACATCAATTTGCACATCCATTTGGACATCAACTTCTCAACCAGTGCCAAACTCACCAAAACAAACCAAAAAAACAAACCAAACCATCAAAAGGACACCGATTCGGCGTCACATCAGCCAAGTCGCCGAGCACCAGCCTCGAGTTCAGCCGGGTGGGTGGGTGAAAATGAGGAGACCCAAACAAATTCCTCGGTTGCCTTCTGCTCCCCTGCCAAAAGTCTTTTTTGGCGGTTTCATTGGAAAACCCAGCCATTGGTTGGCAAAAAGATAAAGTCCTAACATCCAAGCAACATGCACCAAAGAAATGGTGGGTTTCATCTAGGTTTCCCTCAACCCATCCTATAAAAAAGGGTACCTTCCGCCAGACTGACATGGAAGCTCCCAAGACCCCTTTGGAGTGGGTCCACTTACGGTACTCGCAAAAGGTCGGAAAACAAAAAACAAAACAAAAAACAGCCCAATATTTTCTCCTTGAACCACCAGCAAGGGAAACTCACCCTGACTGGGGTGATGTTGAAACTAGAAAGGGAATCAAGTTGGACAATGAAATGACCCACTAACCCCGAATTCCCGAAACCGCCGCCGCGGCGTGGGGTCGAATTTGCAGAACTGCTCCCTAGGAATCTCTTGTAGAGGACAGGAGCCAATTTCGTGAGTCCTCTTTGCTTTTCAAGGACACATCGAGCTCTTCCTCCATGTCTCTGCCGAGCTAACCACACTGGCTATATATATATACATATATACATTATATATATTGGCCGATCTTCGGAAAGCCAACGTGTCATGGGTGGATTCGCGCAGTCGTCATATCTTATGTCGCCAACTTCACGCAACCAAAAATAGGAAACACACATCCAGAGAAACTAGGAGAAAGGTGCCTGGGTCCTCTGAAGGGATTCCCTTCAAAAAGTCCCCCGAAACCATGGGGTACAGGGACCCCCCCCTTTTTCTTGTTCACTTGAAAGCCGCGTCCCCCAAGGTGAGATCCTCAACGTAACTTTCCAAAAAACTTTCGAGACCCCACTTGGGACCGGTTTGGGTGGCGACACGGCAATGCGGAGACATCGAGCCCCTGGCAGGAGGCAGCAGCACCTTGGAAAGGCAAGGCGATGCTGAACCTGCGTTTGCCTTTGTCTCCTGGAGGGGAACCAAATATCTCTAGTGATAGATTCCAACTGTCAAACTGTCTAATGGAAGTGAATGTACGTGACCTTTGCGCCCAAAACCACCAGTGCCACGCTTTCGGGCGAGGCACACAATCTTCAGGTTCGCGAGGAGGAGGCTGATATCCCTGGCGCACACCACACGCCGAGCCAGGGGACTTTAACACCAAAATCAGTCAGAAACTGAAGCCATGGCCGGGGGAATCATATAGGTGTGTCCTTTGTTGAGGGTTCCTTCTTCTATCATTTTTACAGGAAAACGTCACAACGACAACCACAATCTTTTGGAGCCCCTAAAAAACGATGCACCCATATCACTATTTACGACCAGTACGCACCATTCAAGGCCATCACCATGGGAGCCTCCCAGACTGGGCTGTCCGTTTTCTGATCGCACTTTTAGTGAGTGAGATGGAAACCCAAGCAAGAAACCCACTAAAAACAACCAAAACGCTGGGAACCGCCTAGAGAAGAATCCGCGTTCCCACAAGGCTACCCTTTCTTTGGTTCTTCCTCTTTTTTTATGTGGAAGCGTTGGCTCCTTCGGTGGCAACGGGAATCCTATGGGACACTCCTTACATCACCAAGCACCAAAGGAAAGCTCTGGCTTTCCAACATACGAATCTCAAGACCACGATTCAATGGACATCGAGCTGAAACCGGGCGAAGCGGATTTTGCACGTTCCTCCCGAGCAATACAGCGGATGTTAGCCCAAGGTTGCGGGTCTAACGTAGACCACTGGTCATTTCAGGAGGATTCCCAATGCGAACAAGGGCGAGGGGGAAACATTAACCCTTTTGCGCCTCAAAGCAACAGTGGGCTACCAACAATCTTGTCAGTTGCTCACATGCTCACTTCCTGAGCGGGATGGGCGGTTGCTTGCCACCAAAATGGGCGTCCTAAAAAGGATAAAGTGCAAGAACTCAAAAAGTGAGTCCCTTCACACCTCGAGGGATAGTCTTAGCTTCTGACGGGTCTTGCGTGGCAGGCAAATCATGCCTTGCTGGTTCTCAATGAAGAGCTTTGGGACGGACGTGGGGATTTTTGTAAACCACAAGAACTGGGGGGTCATTCCAACTCATTCGAGCCCTGCCTGAAGCTCAGCCACAAGCAGCCCCAGCGCCGTTGCCTCTCCTTGAGGCCTCGCGAGGCTCCCCTTTCAGACATCCCTCCGAATGGCTGTGGTTCAAAATCAATGGTACCATTTTGGTTAGTAGGTGAATTCACCACCCATTTCAGTCTAGTTTAGTGTGGATTGGGATGCTTACCGGGTAATTAAGGGATTTTGACCAATGGCCAAATGTCACCCGAGCTAAATGGCTTCACAAGGAAACCGGGCTCCAAACGTGAAGTGAGAACCCCAATAGAAACGGGGCCTGTACTGTGAGTCAAGCAAGGGAAGGACCTCCCTTCAGTCCGCGAACGCACTTGGCTGGATCCAGCTGGCTTTTCAAGGGTCAGCTACAATGGTCCACCCAGTTCCTCATTGGGAGGGCCCTCTTTTTCAGACCATGTTGTGGGGTTGCTTTGCAGAGACGAAACCACGGGAAATCCAATTTTGGGTGCCCCCCAGCTTTGTTTTGTAGAGAGTGCCCTTCCTTGGGGGCATGTTAAAGAGGCCACCACAAGGGATTACAAACCATTTGAGCGATGCCGAAACCTCTTGTGTAAGAAACGACCCTGCGAAAGCTTGCTTTCGTTTGCTTAATCAGGCGATGCTTGCGCGACCACATGTTTTGCTGTTGCGAGCTTCGTTTCCTTTAAAATCGCTTTCGCGGCACTTTCGCGGCGGGACCCTCCTGGCACTTTCGCTGTCGCAAGCTTTCGCCGCCTGCGTTTTGGCTAGGAAAACCAAAGGTGGGTTCTGTTCCTGTTGGCTTTTGCGGGGAAAAAACATCAACTCAACAACCAAAGTGCCCTAACCCCCCAAACGGCGCTTTGTCTTTTGGGTTCAAGTTAAACCAAGGTGAACATCGTACCGCGTCTTCAATCTCTTTTTGAGGGTATCCCTCTTTTTGGGTGGCTTTTAAAGGGAAACCACAGGAAAACCACCCAGGTTGGTCCCCATCAAAAAAACAACCCATACGCACACTCATTGTGAGCTAGCTTGAGGCGCCCACGATGCACACAGTGCTCCCAGATGATGCTCGGTGGATCCGCGCTCAAAAGGCGCACCTTAGACATTTCTTTCCCCACCAAAAACATGGGAAACATGGTCCCAACATTTGGGTGTGATTGTTTTTGGGGTACCCCTTTTTGGTCCGCTACAAATTGAACCATGGGAAAATTCACACATTTCGGTGTCCCTAAAAGAAGAAACACCGCCCCCCCCCCCACCCCGTTTCTGCTTTTTCAAGTACTGTCCTTAAGGCGGTGGTTGGGTGGTGGTGGTGGTGGTGGTGGTGGTTAGCGTATGTTAGCGTCCCCCGGCTTTGTGGGACATTTAGCGGGTCCCAAAAAGTGTCTCTGTGCTTTTTGAGGCGGTCCCCTTCTCACCTCAGTTTTAAGGGAAACCAAAAGGACAACTTGTTGGCTGGTTTGTTCGGTTTTCACACATACCCATGTCGAGTCAACATAACTCACTAAACTGGCTATGTCCCTGTATGTATTGTGACCCCTAAACCCACTGATTTGGTGTAAGCCAGCATGCCCAAGTGACAATGGACGTATACCGCTCTGCCACTACAGAAGCACAGAGACACGACCTACGCAAACAGTCCTGGGAATGGACAACCTGCACCACTTGGGATGTTTAATGCCATACGATCGCTGGGACAAACCACTTGCCAATTGGTTTAGGAGTTTGTCCATCCATGGTATCAAGACGGAACTCGCCCAATGTTCCATGTCCATTGTGGCAACCCAAGGAATATGTTGATCGTGGCTCAGATCATCTTCTTGCGAGTCCTTCCAACCACGGCCTTTTTTTGTGTTACCCAACCAACAACAAACAACACGAACCAACCCAGACCAAACCAAACCGAACCAAACCAAACCGACCCCAAATCGAACCAAACCAGACCAAACCAACCAAACCAGTCCAAAATAAACCGACTAGCCCAGACCCAACCAAACCAGACCGAACTAAACCAAACAACCAACAACAACACAGCCAAACTAAACTGAACCAACCCGCAGAAGTGCTTCGGGACCCGCCTCCATGTGCTGGCCCTGGCCGAGGGCCAAAGCATATATTTCTGCCGTAAGCCCCAATCAAAAAATTGGTGTTTTCAGAGGGGAACCCCAAATATCCGCCGACAACAAACGGCGCGTTGGACATAAGAAATGCACCTTACCTCTTTACCTGCTACCCCTCCCCTTACCCCTCCGCAGGGGCACATTGCAGGGGGGGGGGGTCCTAGACGTTCCCTTTTCGTAGATTGAATCCTTTCCTTGGGGGCACTGCGCGGGACAGTTGCGCAAAAAACTTGGGGTGTTCCATTTCCCCCGGCTCCGCTTTTGGCACCCTGAGGATGCGGATGATGCAAGTGATGCTGGGGATGTTGACCATGCTGGTGAAAGGAAATCTGGAAATGAAAGGAAATGCATGGAAATAAAGGACATGAAGTGAAATGATGGGCAGGGAAAACGGAAATAAAGGGACATGAAGGGAAGTGAAGGAAAGTGAAGGAAATGAAGATCTTGGGGGGGAGGGAAGGGGGGAAAAGATTTTAAGGGAGGGAAAGATCTTAGGGGGGAAAAGGGGGGAACATATCTTAGGAGGGGAAAGGCGGGGAAAAATCTTAGGGGGCAACAGGGGGATCTTAGGGCGGGAAAGGGGGAAAAAGATCTTAGGGAGGAAAAGGGAGAGAAGATCTTACCGGGAGACTTCCAAGGGGAGAGGTCTCCATGGGATAATTCCGATGGCGATGGGAAACATCCAAAGGAATACTTCCAATGGGACAATTCCAAAGGGACGCGCGTAAGAAAGCAGGCCTGTAATGTCGGCGGCCTGAGCCGGTGGCGTTGAAACAAGTATATATGCAAAATATGTGCGCTATATAAATATATATACCAGGTATATTCACGTGGTTTGGGCTTCTTGGTTGTT